GGGCCAAACCCTTTCAATCCGGTGTGTTTATCTGTGCGAGTGTGCTTTGGTGTGTGGTGGTTGTCATTGGCAATGCATTCAATGCTCTGATGCGTACTGTGCAATAATTTTGTTAAAATATCAGCCATTGCCAGTTTTTGGAAGTTTCGTGTTACAGGGACACACATTTTATAAACTCATTATGACGCGTGTGTTGTAATACACACTTATGTATTGCCTGGCTACCTGAGTTGAATTCCTGGCCATGGGTGACATCAGCAGCGAGGTGATATCTAATACACCAATCGCTGGGGCCTGTTTATTTCTCCATCCCGCACTGACCAGCACGGTAAAGCATGGTTATTTAATTCCTATGCCCTGCACGGTGTGGGGAGGCCTCCTCCTGCAGCAGTGGATGGAATGACAAACAGGGGACTATACTTGTGCATTTTTGGTGTTTTACGCCAGTTTCTCTTCTTCCACCACCAGCTCGCGTTCTGGCTGCATCTCGCTTACGTCGCAGCTCGGGGTGTTCGTGGGTGAGGGAGGCTCGATCCGTCAGCTGCGAGGGGGCGGGGCGACGACGACGTTCATCGCCCGACCATGGACTCTGCTCGGGAATCGAGTGAATCGCCCGTGAGTGTGAAGCACCTCTCTCTCTCTCCCATTCACGTCTCTCCGGCTCGTCACTGCGTTGTAAAACTCTCACCGCGTTCGGGGGAAGCGGGGGGGGGGGTGACCCAAAGGGAAACATTGAGTAGGATGCCGCGTTTAAAGTTATTTAGGATGATGGGTGACCACCGTGTGGATATAAAACACGGGCATGGACAGGCGTTGTGGGTGTTTGAGGGCAGATCGGCAAAATTCAACGCTATTCTTGTGCATTCCCCCCGCTTCACTCATCGGCATTGACCAGCGAGGTGAAGTATATTCAAGTATTCCTCATAGCCCGCAAGGTGTGGAGAAGCCCTCATCCAGCAGGGTATTTACATATCGGGTATGCTAATATTGTGATTCAATTGGTGATGTTTAAAAAAATAAATGGAATGAACCCAGGTTGAAGGGCCAGTTAGCATTTGATGTGATGTGTCTACGGTTGCTCACCTTGTAATCCAGCACTTCTGAGGCGTGGTGTAGTGGATCGCACAGATCTGTCGAGTTTTCCAAACCTGTTGGGCAGCGAGGTGACCATGAAATGGCAGTGCAGCCAAGCGAGTGGATTTCGGATATCCATCTGTGTGGAGCTTTACGTTGGGTTTTCTCCGTTGACTCTTGTTGCCTCCCACATGCTTGAATGCTCATCAATGGAATTGGCCAAACATCCCAAGGCAGGGGACCTCCTTGGAAAAAAAATAACTCGAGGCTTTCCTGCATTGCCAATGTGCATTGATATCATTACCAATACGTGCCAGTTTTTGTCTTGCGGCTGTTTTGTCCCCAGAGTGTGTTGTGACGGCTCGGCACGCAGGCACTTGCTTGTCGTCGTATCTTCCATACCACGCACCATTGTCCACTGAGCTGTTGTTATGATTGAAACTATTTTTTAAAAATTCTCTGGTCCAATTACTTGCATGGTCCTTCTTGGGAAAAATCGCCACGGTGATGTGTTTTATTTGCTCAATGCAGCACGTACTTTTCATGGCCGATCTGTATTAGTTCGCACCTCCGATTAGCACGTTTTGGCTACGTACGGTGCGAAAAAAGTTCAACAAACAGTACAGCCAACTGTTGACTTCTAGCCGTGACCGGGATTCGAACTCCACAACAATGTTTATACAGTAAATATATTTACATGATTTATGCATTAATAGTGGAGTTTAAAATAAGAATTGCCATTTTGTGAATTTTATTTTTTCCATACACGCAGCACGGTAGGATAACTTGGGTGACCCTGACCCTGAGTGTGGATGGGTGTGTGGGGAGTGGTCGTGTAGTGGTTAGCGCGCTGCGCTAAGAACCTGGTGACCGAGGTTCGATTCCCGCTCGCCACCAGTGACGATTATCTCAACCAGTCCTGGGCCTCCCCTAGTTCGACTCAGTACCTTGTATGGTGTGCAAACATCACTACTGGGGAGACAAAGGCGGCCAGGAGTGGTGTTGGCCTCCCACCCCCTCGTGTGCCGTTCCGGCCTTTATAGGTGCTCACTAACAGCACTTGCCCCAACAGTCTGTTCAGGCTATACGGGGGGGATTTTTGTCTTTGTTTTGTGGATGGGTGTGGAGAGCGGTGGAATACTGGCGAAAGAAGTGCAACATACAGACATTAGTTGGTGTTAATAGCACAGGTTGGCGATAGCACAGGTAATAACTCTGGAGCACCAGCTATCACGTGGACGCTCTTCCAGTGGCTGTTTGAGGTTGTGATCGTCAAACCAGGGCCGCAGCCGCTTCCTCCTTCATGGCACTGCTACGTTCGTGGCTCTGCTGCGTTGCACACGTGAAGCAAAAGTCCAGCGTGCCCCTTCAAGTTTGGCTCACGAGCGTAATCCTTACGCTGCGTTCAGTTTGCCTATTTATAACCCGAGCAGAGAAAATGCTCCTCACTTTTTTTTAAGCCTGGCTTAAGTAAAGGATGCCCCCCCTGCCAGCCCCCCCTCGTTTACCTGTAAAAGAAAAAAAACTCACTTTATTTGCACAAATTACACAACCCATCCCTACCGGAAAACCGGGGCACGCTGATGCACAATCGACATAAGCGGCTTTGCAACTGATGCAACGCCCAACCTTCTATTTGTTCCACATGTTCTCTTATTTGTTCTTCGTTGCGCATTGATTTAACAAATGTAAATGCGTGGAACGGTACAATTTCACACCGTTCAAACAGCAGCTTCATAAAGTTTTAACATTTTCTGCGCAATATATTCTTTTTCACGAAAAAACGATGCCTTTTTCACGAGGCAGGCCGTCCGCCGGTTTGCTTGCGTAAGTCACTTGATAAATACTAATTGAGTGTCACTCATGATGTCAGATGCGTTCGCACACCAGCGACCGGCGGGAGGGGCTGTCGCAAGATCTCACCGGCGTAAATCGAGCGCCTGTTCACGCGTTGCACAACCTGCTCGGCTGGTCAAGCTGAAGTCGGTGACCCGAAAGTGGGAGGGGATCGTCCAAGATAAACAAGAGGGCCGCGGGGCCGCCGCCAAGCGAGACCCAAAAAAAAAAAACCCGCCGGGCCCCTGACGTCACTAAACGGTGCCTCCTCTGGGGGTGAGCTGTGTTGCGTTGAAGCCGCCCCCCCCTCCACCCCATCTTGCAGGTGCGCGTGAATTCACGCCTAAAGGCATTCTGGGGGGTTCTCGTATCTTGGCTCTCGTTGCGGCAAGACTACCGAGTCGGTGTGCGCCCTTGCCAAAGCAAATTTCGATCCGACCTCATTTGCATTTGGCTCCCGAGCGAGAAATATTTTTTAAGGCTTTCAACCGGTTTGAACTAAAATACGGTCAGGTAGCAGACGGGGCTTGGAGAAGTGGCGTTTTTTTTTCAAGTGACGCGGATCTCATTTTTCGGCAGTTTTGAATTCTTGTTTAAACAAACGAGGGTTTACTCTTGCCTGGTCCGGGGGCTCTTACCGAAGAAAGCACCATTGCAATGCCGGGGAGCCTCAATCATGTGGGTGGAAAATAAGGGCTCCTTATGTTCTGCGTTTTAACCTGAATACTATTCATTAGCATTCGGGTGGTATACTGCATATTAATTTAATATGTTGTACAGTAGAACTTGAATGAAAATAATTACTTGTCACTTTAGCTTAAGCGAAACATGAAAATAAAATAATACTACATTCTATATATATAGAGCTCAACATTTCACTTTGGCAGATGTTGAGCTGATTTCCCCCCCCCCCCCCCGATCCCTGCTGATGTGACTTTTTACATGCTCATTAATTTCCATTCGCGTAAACGTACACAGGTAGCGCACCTCGTACGTACATTCACTCGCTCTTGGAGAATAAAGCACTGGCCTGTGCATATTTTTAATATCCTGTTCTAGAAAACTTACCGACCGCTCCTCGTGCACTCAAAAGAGTTGAGATGCGAGTTGACCACTGGCAGCTGTCAAATGTCCAGCTCTCAAAACGACATCCGCTTCGGTTCGGTAGCAGGAATTTCAAAATGCGCTCGTACCCGCGTAGGGGCTTATCTGATGCAGGAGGCATACCGTTGCATCAAAGCCGCACGTCGTTTTGTGTCCAAACGGCGTGACCGACGGCCCATTGAAATGATTTAGGTTGATGCTGCTCTGGTCTGGGGGGGGGGGCTTGTAGAGTGCCGGGGGTTGGGGAGGGGGGGTGACATTTTAAACCCGCGCCCGTATTTGGATGTGAACCTCCGGCACCGTCGCTTTGAGGCCTACGGATTTTTTTTTGCTTTGCTCGAGCGGAGCCCCGATGTTGGCGTCGGAACGGTTCCAAGGGGTCCTCAAAACTGCGAGAGAGCGTGCGGCTCGCTCCGTCGCCGCAGCCGGAGCGAAGGCACTCGTCTTCGTGGCGACGCTCATCCTTCCCAGCGATGGTTCGGTAAAACGGGGTTCCGTTCTCCCAAGACAAAGAAAGTCACCCTGGGCGAGGTTTCCATGCAGGATATTTGTCTTTGCGAAAAAAAAAAGTGACCATAAACAATATCCTAATCCAAGTTCAATTCTGCGGATTCTCCTCCTGCCTTCCCCTCCCTCCCTTCCTCGCCCCAAACAGCCCTATTTATTAGAATAACGGGGGAGGGCTCATGAAAGAGAAGCCCAATTGAAACGGATGAACGCTGCTTGATTTGAAGCGCTTATTGTTTTATAGAAGGTGTCCTCTTTCGCCTGCTTTTATTCTCTCATCGGAGGTGGAGCTCATGGCCGTGTGACAAAGCTCGCTCGCTTGTACCTGCTTTGTGTTCACACGGCTCTGTGCTTGCCTGGAGCCGTGCTTGGCTGGCGTGTGTACGCATGAGAGAGGGAGCCCACCGGAGCGTTAGCGTTCGACACCATCTTTCCTCACCGGCGCCAGCTTCGAGCATTCGAGTAAACGCGCGCGCTGGGCCTCGCACATGCTATAAAGTGAGTATAAATATATACGCACGCACACGAGCACACACACACACGCGCGCATGTACGAGCACTGTACACCCGCCGTTTTGAGGGACGTGCACAGCTGCGTGCTGGCTCAAACATTTGGCTCGGGGTGGGGGGCACTGGTGGTCAGCAGAATCTGGCACCCGTACGAACGGCAGATGGGGGGGGGGTCATGCAAGGCCTGGCACTGCCGCGCGTGCGAAAGATAGAAGCCCCCCTCCCGTCTTCCCCCATGTAACGCTTTGTTTCCGCGTCCCCGGCCCTTGCAGAGCACCCGAGCGTCCCTCGCACCTTGGCGCTCCTTTGCCGCCGCGTTCCCCCCACGTCGCTTGTCCCCCCCCTCCTCCCTGCACGGTGCGCTGACGTTCATCATTTCTGCTTAAATTTATAATTTCCACCCCCCCCCCCCCGATCCGGCCGCTGGCCCCCACCCGGCGCTTTGTGAGCAGGTCAGTTTATTTGTCTTTGCGGCGGGTGGCCAGAGCCATTGTTCCACCCGGGCGGTCTGGTTTGTTGCTTTTGGCCGATATATTGCTTTCAAGGGCTCCCGGCAGCCAGTTTTGCAGCGCTCGCCCGCTCCACTCGAACACCTTTCCGCCCCCGCTCTCAGAAGAGGCTTTGTTCCGCGGCGCACTCCGTCCAGAGCCGGTAGCAATAAGCTGTTCCGCCACAATTTTTTTTTATTTTGGTGGGTGTTGCAAGTTCCTCCTCTCGCACGAGCTGAGCCATATTTTTATTGTGGCCGTAAAGCAGACACAGGCCATTAATTTAAAGCAACATGGGGATTTAATATACTCGTGTTCCTGCTAAGGTACTGCTACGGCTGTGCTCCCGTGTGTTAATTTGCCGGCAGCCGCCGTCATTGTTGAAGGAAAAGCCCGCTTGTGCTATCCCCTGGTTTGCCGAGATGTTGTGCAGCATTCTCGTTACGCTTTTCGCGGTTAAATTACAATCGGCTCGTGAGGTTAGATGCGTAATTGAGGCCGCGTTTATAGATGCCCACTGTAAAGTGTTTAAAGGGCAAGTGTGACTCTCCCATGAATTCTGTGCAGCAAGACGGATAATTTAGTGGTGGGAAAAAACGCGTTTGGATGCCCCGTTCGTTATGTCGGTTTACGAGCTTGGTGCCCGGACGTTTGCGAGTATTTTTATCTGAACTTGTGATGGCGTCTTGACTCTTGACTCTCCCCGTCCTTTTGTCCCCTGTGTGTTTCAAGACCGTTTTTAGAATTTGATTGTTCACTGGAACCTACGCGTCAGATAATTTCCTCACATTTGGCAAGTCCTTCCCCCCCGCCCCCTACTCCGCTCTAAACCTGGACGCGAGCACACACTCGGAGCGGGGTGCCGTCTCTCTGTCCCGTTGGTTGCTTTGCAAACGAACGCAGTGCCTCCCTCGGTGTCACGCAGTCCCGACTCGTCGTGGCGCATTGGGGCGGAACGCGGTCGCGTGTCTGGCCTCGACCCGTTTGGGTTGGAATCTGTCCCCCTCCTTCAATTGTGTTGGATCGCCTCTGCTTGACTGTCATCAGCACCGTGACTTCCCAGCGCTGATTTTGTTCGAAGCTCAAGACCCAATCCCCCCCCCCCCCATTACCTGCAGTAAATCCTTTATTCCATCCATAGGTACAGCGCTTGTATCCCAAACATCCACAATGCATTAACTCCAGCCTGACGGTGCCATTTTATTTAACTTGATTGATCAGCCTCTTGATTGCTTGTTTGCAATTATTTTTGCAGGGTGGTGTTTGTTTTTAAAATCTTGATTAGGCCTATTGCATTTAAACATGACCGCACATCCAAACAGTAAATTACCTGCACCGTCATTGCTCGTCCAAACATAAATGCTACACACCGGTGTGTGCCTGTGTTTGCCTGTGTTTTTAATAATAATGACCGCAGCAATAATTTGGATCACTGTGTGATTACACGGCTGCATGAGGGCCTCCTTATGCTGTGCCAGACATGGAACCGGTCGTTTGCCTGTGCTTCACCATGCTGGTCGGTGCTTGTTGGTGTAGGGTGAACCTGAACTGTCCAGAATCGGTTTGGACATCACTCCAGCCGTGGCGGGGAATCTAACTCACGCGGCCGGGTTCATAAGCGCAGCGTGCTAACCCCCCACCGCTAGCGTGTAAGCACGCACAGGTGATCGTTTGCACGTTGTGTGGCGTGCTGATGAAGCAAGAAAACATTTTTATTTCCTCCTCCAAATAAAACACCTCATGTTTATAAAGCTCCACTCTGTATATTTATTGCCTGAGCAAGTAGGCTATAAAACCATTAATTGAATGTATTAACAAGTTTGTTGTCGGAGGGAGGGGGGGCAAACCTGCACGTGTGCACTTGCACCGTTTGCCGGTTTTGGGCCCGAGGCGCAATTCTTTATTTTAGCAATTCGGGCCTGTGGTATCGCGACGAGGAACACCGTGCCGATGTCGCTGCTTGCCCCAGGTGTGATGTTTATCGTTCCCCCCACCATGTTGCCTAAATTAGAGGTGTTGAAGTGCCAATCGGTGACTACACATTGCAATACAATCCGCTGGCTGCGTTTGGTCATGGTGGTTGGGACGGTTGGTTTGCTGTGCGCCGCGTTGTTCGATTTTACCAACTCGTGGTTTTTTGTTTTGATTTTCTTGTTTCGGTATTTTTTTGTTTTGTCTGTTAAGACAGATAAAAAAATATTTCCTGTACAGCGACTTAAGATGATTTTAATACTTTATTTAGTTTGTTGTCCTTCCCCTGCAACCTCCTTTAGTACGGTTGGCTACGTACGGTGCAAAATAATTTCAACATACTGTAAAAATTCGTATTATTAAACTGAATTTGAATGAAAAGCAACAAATGAATGTGCCTGAACAAGACTTTTTAAATTGGTGTATACTCTTATTCGCTATGACATACGGATCGTAAATACGGACGTCGATAAATAAAATGGAGCAAAAAATGTTGAAAAGTGCACAAAGAAGCGTGGTGAGGTGCGGACTTGAGATCTGCACTGAGAGGCAGTAAGTGGCAGACGTGGATTTGAGAACATGCGCAGGTTTTAGGGACATCATATTCCCTGACCAGAAACCTTAAGGGGCAGTGGCGTCACTTGGGGGGTGCGGACCGCAATTGGTGACACCATCAGAGGGGGTGACACCAAAATGACTGCCTATACAAATTTTGTGCAGTGGAAATTATTTATTTTTTATAAAAAAAATATCCCCATAGCTATAACAACAAAATTGTTTTCGTAAGCCCAGCTAACATGTACTGTATCAATATACCTACAAGGCTAAAACTCTATTCTAATTTACTTTTTGAACCTTCTAATGTGCTCCGGTCAGAGCTGTCATTGTTACCCAATCACAGTGATGCTTCGAGTCACGTGGTGTCTGCACGCACTACAAACACGCGCTGCTGTGTTCGTTGCTGCTCGTGTTTTAATAGTCGCTGATTGTCATTTTCTGATGCTTTAGCTACAATATTGTGGTAATTAGTATTTGTGAACCTATATCAGTAACTTTTTTGAGAATTAAGTAGTAATTAAAAGAAAAGGAGACTAATAACAAAAGGCTTACGCTCGGTTACTAATAATGTAACTAATAGTGTAGTAATTCAATTTAGAAAGATTTTACAAAACAATTTTGTTGTTAGTATTCATAATCTAAGAAATATTACATTTAAGCAATTTACAACTATATAACCTGTTATTCTATGATTAATATTGATATAAACTTACATGTAGAACAATTATTGATTATATAACTCTTTGATAACTAAATAGAGAAATTGACAATTTAAAACATGAAGTGGAGGGAAATGTTATGTTTCTTGATACATGTTTAGAAATATAATTTAAATCTTAAATTAGTGTTTTTTTTTCATTCTAGTCTTTTAAAAAATGTTTTTAAAAATATCACTGTATTTCAAATATATATCTGATTTTATGTAGTTCTTATATGTTTTAACGTTTTTTTACTTCGAATTCTATTGTTTTCTTACCGAATTTGCACTTTAACCACGTGAAACTATGTATAAGTACATTTAGGCTGTACGTATGACATTGTAATTTAAAGGTGTAATTTTAATTTTGCTAGTTGTTTACGTCACTACTATTGTCATTACATCCAGTGATATACGGGAATTACGATTTACGAGTAACATTAGTTAAAAAAAACATGACGAAGGATTCTGAATGGTCTGGTACGGGAGGAGGTCCATGGGGGGATGACGCCATGAGTTACCACACTGGGTGACACCAACCGTAGTGACGCCACTGCTAAGGGGGTCTCGTTTGTGCAATGTCGCTTGGCATGGATAATTAATAATGGCCGATGATTTCGACCGACGACCGAGTGACAGCCAAAGGAAAGGACGTGTCCGAGAGGACCTCCACTGCGTAGATGAGATCAGCTCATGTGTGTGCGTGTCGGTGCTCACCAGAGTGTTGCATTGCAAAGCCGTGGGCGATCGCAGTGGATTGATCATTGCCGTTGATGCCGACGACGATGATAATTATAACGAAGGGGGACTGCAGATCGTGGCTGTTTTGCGCACTCAACTGTGTCCGCCCCATGTGTGTGTGTCGCCTGGGCCACGTGGCTCCCCTGTGGTGGGGGTGCTGCGCTCGCTGTGGCCTGGGAGGGCTTAAGAGTTTGGTGGCTTGATCTCGGCAACTCGGGGTGTGCAGTCATTTGGTGACCAGGCTGAGACTTTTCACCTGTTACGTTTGAGAAACCTGGTGTTGTCGTGGTTGCGCAGCTGAAACCTGGTCTTGAACCCAGGTGCCCTCGGCAATGCTGCCAGAGTGCTCTGACCTTTGAACCGCCTGGCCTATTCAGGTTGTACTTTACAGGGTGGCTCAAAAGTCAGGACACAGGGTTATTATATTGATTTCAACAACTCACATAGGGTTATTTAATTTATTTTAACAAAGTTTCAAACTGACTGCCATTAACAATACTGCATGCGTGAATTATCTTTTGAAATGAATTTAG